ATAAATAACATTTCGTTTTCCTATCTTTATACTTATCAAGTATTTAATAGTTATAATACACTTGTAGAGGCTATACCCATTTTTAATGGGTTCAGGGTATAACAAATTTGGTTTCAAGATTCGTTTTTTTTGTTTTTGTATTACGAAAACGGGGGCTAATCAACGATGAAGTGTTGCCAATTAAATTTATAGGGTTGCCATAATTGCCATAAAGATAAGAAGGGCATTATAATTAATCCGCTTGGTACGTTTACCAGCTAAAGAATTATAAGAAAGCCCAGCTAAAGAATTAAAATATTATTTTATCTGAGCTGAATCTTCCGACTTCTGCTCTGCCACCCTGCAATTCCATTCATGTCTAATCGGTTACAATCATGAATGACTCATTCCCATGTTAGCAAATGTCTGTCAAAGTTCTCACATCTTTGGATTTCATAATAGCAACACGTCTAATCTTAACACAAATAGCCTCTCCGAGTTTGAAGTATGTCAACTGAAATCGCCAAGAGCATATTCAAGTACAATATGTATTTAAATTATTTCTCATATGAGAGAATAGTTGCTGGAAATTGTGCAAAGCCCGCTTATCTAAAAAATTCCAGAGTGCTTGGCGGGGTATGCGGCATTTCCTTTTCGGGTTTTGTTTTTCGCTTATCAGCTTCAATTTGCATGTTGCTTTCGAGAACGTGCTAATATTTGATTTGGAACAGTCCGAGACACTGGCAACTTAATTAAATTTTGCGCTGCAAAATTTTTTCTAAAACAAACGAAAATAATTAAAATATGATTTACCTGTGGTATATATGTACAAACTGTATGTTCCGCGGGCATTTCACGTAAAACAAATTTCCGTTTAATTGCGCGTTTGGCTTTTCCTGCTGGAAGAAGAAAGAACCTGTAACAATATTGCAATTGAAAGTTCTCGACTACGCAATGCGCTGTTCACACTTAAATTAAACAGGTGATTGAATTGAAGTTTAGTGACTCTTAAACTGTGACTAGAAGTGACTGCGACTCAAAATGTGAACTATTTTCAAGCCCTGAAGCTATTTAAAATGGGTAAAACATGCGAATGCAAATGTATTTAACAAGCAGGCGAAGTCCCTCTGTCCCTCAAGTCCCTCTGTCTCTCCGTCTATAGCTTCGAGAATGGTATATACAGATTAAGTATCTTCAATTTTATATCTGATAGAAACATGTTCAGGGTATATCGAAGTCGGGCATGCCGACTAGAGCATTCTTATTTGTTTAACAGTTTTGAATAAGCACTTTGCCCAAAATTGAATATATTCTTATTCCACGCTGAGAACAGGGCATAAATATTGCTAACAATAGTTTTTAACGGCAACAAAGTATTTTTTTAGCGCGTTTGTCATGTGCGCAAAATGCTGAGAAACGGAGACGGATATAGAATCGGACATCGGGCCGGACTGACAGGCAGACAGACAGACAGGCTGTGCTACCTGTGCTGCTGCCTAACGGCTAATTTGTTTTAATGATGAGAAACCGCTTAAATAAACAAACAACAACAAGCACAATGGAGGCTGTTGTCGCGTAGCCGTTCATGCGGGTCTCTGCGCTGCTTTCAGGGGGGGCCCAAACCGGGGCATATTTCTCCATTGTGACTGATAAAACTAATGTGTGTGAGTGTCATGTGTGTGTGTGTGTGTGTGAGTACTTCATGCTTCATTGCGAATTCAATTAAAGTTTGCACACAGCTCCTCAATCGAGTGGGGCCCACGAGCGGGGCATGTTTGACAGACGCGGGGGCACACAGCATGAATGTAAACCTCAAAAACTTGAGCTCTGTCCGAAAAAAAAAAAAAAAAACGTTGAGTTCTGCTCATAAATTAATAAATTATATGAATATAACATTCATAATAAAAAGCTTTGACAGCCTTTTGTCTATATAACAATGAAACTATTATCTGCCCATTTTAGTGCAATTTTTGCCATTTGTTTACAAGCTGATTTTCATGTCAGCATTTTACTTGTTGTTAATACTATTTTATTTCTAACCATTTTATTGAAATTAAATTAGTAACGACTTCTTTACCTAAAATACCTTGAAATAAATAGAAAGTAAATTAACAACTTTTGAAGTTTGGCAACAATGGATTAGCAAATTAACGGTATTAAAGAATATCTTTACATATACTTCATATTGGTCCTAAATTATTTCCAATATTTCATTTAGAAGGCTGAGAAATTTGGCAACATTGGCCAAAGGTTTAATTTTATCAATTGTAGATACTTAAAAGACAACTTTCCACCTGTTCTATTTATAGATTTTCAAGAACTATTGAAGTTTGGCAACAATGGAATGAAAATTTAAGGCTTCTTTACCCCACTTTTATTAATATAAATAAATAATTGTATCACCAACTGCCTCACTTCGATTATGCATTTTAAATGCATTAACAACTGTTTAAATATTATTATTGTTTTTCTACTTGTCTAATGCAATGCGGCAACAAGGCATTGCTAGTAAAATTGAATTTTGTAATAGCCGTAGAACAGATATGGCCAAGTTTTAACATCTTTTTGTATGCACATGCACAAATGTGACCCTGAGACTTTATTAGCTTAGGCAATTGAATTGTGGCTTTCCATATTAATAACCGCAATACTTCAAAGCCTTTTAAAATTCCAACGACCCTGAACTTACCTCGTGCACGGACAGGTACGCGTAAATGTCATGCCGTGAAATAAGAAAACAATTCTCGAGCATTTCAAATGATACGCAGGTATTTTTTGTGCGGCACTTCCTTTACATTTATGTGCGCATGTTCGAGTCGAAATTATTTATAAACATATTTATACATTATCATTTATTTTGTCCGCTGAATCATCTCTGGGAAGCAGCTGTCTGTAAGATTTATGGCCGGCCAGGTAAGACTCGTAATTGAAGCCCTGCGAATTAATCGGTTCTGTTGAATGAAGCCCCTCCCCTCCGTTGATCAACTTTCAAGATGCGCTCAATAGACGACCTTGACTGCCAGATCAGACAATACCAATTCAAAACTCCCCCCTCTAGTTTCTATCGTAAGCGCTTTTTAATGAATCAAAGTAAACAATGAGGCGCAAAAAGCGAAAATATATCTGAAAACAAGCAACGAAAAATACAAAATCAAAAAAATAATAATAATAGCAATTGTGCATAGCACATTTTTGGCGCTTTGGTACATACATGTTTGTAGGTTTTTAGTACTTTGTTGTTTTAGGAAGCGGAACTGACAATTCGAAAAAACGTCACAAACCGCCAAAAAAAAAAAATAATAATTCCAAATACTTAATTGATAGGCGGAGAGCAAAGGAAGCAAATTTATGTTCACACATAAGTCTAATAACTAAATTTAATTTTATCAACTAAATGTAACCTTACAAATATTTAAAAAAAAGTGGTTATAATAAATAGGTCATATATAAATAAGATGGGTTTTATGACATTCCAGCAAAAGATACTCTGCAAAATAATCAAGTCTGCGCTATTAGAAAACGTGGCTCTCACATCTGCTCTCGCAAGCCGAAGCAGAACTATGTCATGTTATTTTATTGCTTCCAAATGTGGGAGCTACAACAGAACTTTATAAATGGTTACCTGTACTTTTGGCAAGTGGAAAATGCGCACATAAGCTTTATAATCCATCAAAAAGTTGTTGTACAAGCTATTTAGTTGCATTGTCGCAATTCATGGCATTAGCTGTACTTATGTCAGACGCCTGGAAATGCCAAAAACAAAAATCACGTAGCCTGACGCAACGCCCACGATAAGAGACTACATATTCAGGTATTCTGACCCATGAGCACATGCCAGTGGAATTTCTATTCGGGCTGCCTTTAGGCACGGCCATACAAATATTTAATAAACATAAATGAACAGTATTTAGCAGATACATAAAACTTGGGCTCTGACATTAGCGCGGGTATTGGCCAATTGAAAATAAAGCTGGCTTAAAACACGTACACACAATGTGCTGGAAATGTGGGTCAAAGTGTTGTCATGCTGCCGTCAGGCAAAGGGCAGGCGATAAGCCAATTGCTGATAACAATCCAAGAATGAAAGGCTAAGCTTATCAATTTATCTGATATCAATACACAGTCCGTGTCATCAAGAAAATATGCTCAACCACTTTACCCGCTGCTGGTTTGTTGATCCATCAAATTGTGTATGGACTTTCTTATCACATGCACGACTTTCAGGAAGCCGCCAAAGATCTTTGCGTCGTTTCAATTAGAGCAAAACTGAAGGTGAATCGTGCGCTCGTTAACACACAAATATACAAAATGCTCATTACAAAAATCTTCCAAGTTATCAGCAAATGAACAGCGAAAAAATAATGAAACCAGCTGAAAACAAATAAAAGCGGCTCTGGTCGGGAGTGTCCCACTAAGGGATACCCTGCGCTAGCTATAAAAAGGTATACTTGATTTTCTGACCCATTAAAACTATTTAAAAAAAAGGTTTTCGATTTCGACTCTTATGGTCTGCTTTGAAGCTGGGAAAGTTATCGAGCGTGGTTAGATGAAGTCGGAGATGCTTCCTTCCGCCTGTTACATACATTTGCACAAATACATTATACCCCTTTCAGCTGTTTTCATTGGGTCCAGGGTATAAAAAACCAATTTCAAAGAGGCCATATCTACATTTCAGTGGAGCTGGTTGGAATAATTATAATAAGAAGTTCTTTCTTCACAAATTAACCGATTGTACGAATTCGACTTGAGATTTGAGAAAAGAGAAATTAAAATATCCTTGAAACTTTTTGTAGAAAATATTCTAAACGGGAAAATGTCAATACACAGTTTATATAACTTTGAAGCAAGCCTTCCATTTCTGGTATTATCCTTTTCGTGTAGTTTTCCCTATTTCAAGACTATCTTAAGTCTAACCTTTAACGATTTTTATGGGTTTGTTCGACTCTCTTTAATTCAAACCAATCTTCGCAAATAATTTGTGTGCCAATTGAATTCAAAGTGTGATTCTTCTTTACTTGCAGCCATGTCCACATCTACCACGCCTAAAACGCCTACGCCGCCCACGCTGCCGCCGGGCGTGACCAAAACATGCCACATAGTCAAGCGACCCGATTTCGATGGCTACGGCTTCAATCTGCACTCGGAGAAGGTAAAGCCGGGTCAGTTTATTGGCAAGGTGGACGCCAACTCGCCGGCTGAGGCAGCCGGCTTGAAGGAGGGCGATCGCATACTGGAGGTCAACGGTGTTTCCATTGGCAGTGAGACACACAAACAGGTGGTGGCCCGCATCAAGGCCATTGCCAACGAGGTGCGTTTGCTGCTGATCGATGTGGATGGCAAGGCCATTGAGATGCCGTCAAAGTCGCCAGCATCGCCCGTGACCAATGGCAACGGCTGCAGCAGCAGTCCGCCCAGCTATGAGGGCACCAAGCAGGAGATACCCGGCGCCAGCGCCAACATCAGCAGCATCAGCGTGACCAGCACGAAGCGCATCTCGAATGCGAGCAGCATTCAAAGTGGCAGCACAATGAATGCCAGCGACATGGATGTGGTGGACAGGGGCATGCCCGTGGCGCCAGCGACAGTGCCACTTGCAGCGCCAATCTCAGCTCAAAATGGCAACAAATCGCCGAGCAGCAACAACAATAACATTAACAGCAGCAGCCACAACAACAACAACAACAATAACAACAACAGCAGCAACAAAATGATGAGCACACCGCCGCCGCCATCGTCCGCCGTGGCCAGCTTGAATAACAATGGCAGCGTCTACAGCAGCAACAGCAGCGCTGCCAATGGCAACAGCAGCGTTCTTGGCAATGGCAGTGCCACGCCCACAGTGCCAGCGCCCAATGGGGGCATGAATCGGGCGGGCAGCTTGAATTTGCCGCTAACCGTTGCCGAAATGCGTGCCAAATTGGCATCGAAGAAGAAGTACGATCCGAAGAACGAGAGCGTTGATCTAAAAAAGAAATTTGAAATTATACAAAAACTCTGAGATCCCACTCCGCACAGCCCAAGGCCCATCCCCCCGTATCATGCACAACATTCTTAAAAACGTACTTGTTATTATGTGACACGAAGCGCACAAAGGAGACGATAAACTATTATATAATGGCTGGCAGATCCATATTATATATACATTTACATATATATAGACATATTTTGTCCAAACACGGAGTTTTTGCGATATGTTTTCTTTAGCTACGGCAGGCATAAATACTTTATAATACTTAATAAACTACCTAATTAATTAGTACGCAAGAGTCACTTATGAATTAAGCAAGTTTTAAATTAATTATTCTAGCCTAAGCTAAAGCCCTCCCACACCCGCCCTCTCCCTCATCCTGCAACTAGACAAAATTTGAACCCAGAAAATAGCGTATCGAAACGTATTGAAACCCAAAAAAAACTGTTTGAACTTGTGTCTAGTTAAAAAAAAGAAAAGACAATCCCCACGAAAACATTTCATAAGAAAAGGAAATGTGTTGAAAATCAAACATTTCTTTTTTTGCACATTTTTGTTTTTTGATAATTATACTATATACTAAGTTTTTGCTTTGCATTTGCGGCTAGTTCACTGAAATCTTTCGTTAAATTTTTACCATACCTATATATATATATATATATATACATTTGTACATGGTATATACATATATGTCTGTATTTAGTTTACTTATGTGCTTTTTACCGTAAATAAAGCAAAACAATGGAAAACAAAAGACCTCGTTTTTTCTGTGACATGTGTTTTCTGTTTCATCAATTGAAATAAAATTAGTTAATAGCTTAAAAATAAAAAATAATTTCCGCTGAAGTTCGAATACACTTTCGGAGCTTAGAATTTTTATGCTTGAGTATGATAAGTGTATCTAATAGAAGAATTTGGCAAAGTTACAGTTTAAACAGGACAATATTTATAATATATGCTTCAATCTTTAATATTTTATCAAAACTGCGCTGAGAGTCTGGAATAGTCAAGCGAATAACCTGATGCTCGATCTGTTTTATCAATCCCAGGGCTTTAAGGATCTATATAACCCTAGATGCCCCTGTTTATTGTGGGTATGTGGATATTAGTAGTTAAAGACAGATATGAATCAAATGCTTTTGTTAACTTATCGCAGGTAAGGTTGCAGTAGAGGAAGGACTAATCGCTTCCTCTCAATGCGCTATTGGGGTCCTTGCAGGATCCAAACAGCTTCTTAAAGACTTCAATATCCGTTGAAAATAACAAGCAATATCAAGGCTATCAACGAATACAACATAAATTGTTGCTTACCTCAACTAAAGCAATCATATATAAAATGATTTCTTAAATAGTTAAAAGATTGGCTGGCTGCCAAAGTGCCCTGCCAAAATGAATGACAGTTTCAAGACATCTGCCAGTTAGGGAATTAAAAGCAAACATCGCAATTTAAAACGCACGTTAGAGGCGCCAAACAGCTGCACAAATAGATCTTAACACAGCTTGTGGGTGTCTAAAGCACGGCAACGACGGCCATTTCGAAAAGGTTGTGTAAGCCATGAAAATACAAAATACATGAAACAATATGAAAACAAGACATGGAATGGCATACAAATATGTGTGCATAAATATAAACAATGCCTAGTTGCTAAAGGTCAACAATGTCAAATTGCAGTAGCCAGCACAGTAGCAACAGCAGCCGCGGCAACCTGTTGCACTGCATACTAAACACAGCTCGTTATGAAGCTTATAGCAAAAAGAAAAGAATTTTTATGCTCGGGTTGCCGACAATGTTATACCCTTGCTGACACTAATGCCTGATATTTGTCTATAAACTATCTCATATAGTGATATGTATAAACATATGTGCCACATGGCATGATTAAACAAATTTGAGAATATGTGCAATATACTAAACGGATTCCTCGAATGTCTTGCTGAGTGCGTGACAAAGTTATAGGATCCGCAGCAAAGTGTATACAAGGCTATTAAAATATACACCAAATGCAATTGCTACAAGCAACAGCTACAGCAAATCAAGGGCTGTGCTAACAACAAAGAGCAGGCATGTGAAAGTGCCAGCTTCTGTTGCTGTTGCTGTTGTGCCGCTGCAAATTACAGTAATTAAAAGTGACTAAATACAACATTTAGTATCAAAATTTAAATTGTAATGCTAACATATTGTGTACATAATCGCGAGTGTAACGACCTTAAAACAGGTGTTGTTTAAATTTAAGCTAAACTTTTGCTACTGCTACTACTGCTGCTGCAGATTACAAAGCGCCGCAGCGACAATCAGCATCTCGTTCAAATAGCCCAGCAGTGGGGTCTGCTGCAAAGCACAGTGATCGAGTATCTTGAACTCTCGCAACGTGTCGATCGTGTGACGCATCTGTGTGCGACAGGCGGGCTCATTGACGCGCAACGTAGGCAACTGGAGCTGCGGTGCACGTGTGGAGGTGAGTGCGCCATTTGAGACGGACATCGTTTGCATGTTGGCCAATTGGCCAGCCAATCGCTGTTCATCAAATTTGCTCAGGATTTGCTTTGGCTCATCATCCTGTGCCTCGTACTCCTCATCTGTTAGGCCATCATCTGCATTGGTTTTAGGTGAGCGTCTAACAGCTTTGCCTGGCTCCGCGCATAGCGTTAAGTACTTGGGTATGATGTCCTTAAAATTGGTAGCCTCAAACAATTGCAGATCATCGCAGTCGCCACGAAAGGCATCTGACACATAGCTAATAACACCTGTAAAATAATTACAATTGATCAAGAGCAGAGTTGGAACGTCTTCGAAGTACTCACCATTCGTGTTGAGGCACAGGATAAACTTGTAGCTGTCGCAGCCGAAATTGAGCGTCTCGCTCACCTCCGTCTCAACGCACTCAATCAGCGATCGCACATGCAGCAGGTTGGCTCTGTAGGCTAAAGGCATGTGCTTTAAGCGTTCAGAGTAGTGCTTGGCGTCTGGCCAGCGAATGAGCGGACGCAGGCAGCGTGCCAGCTTGATAAGCGTACGCTTGAATGTCTGTTCCACATCTTGCTCGCTCAGCTCAAAGAACTCGGCGAGTAGGGCAAATGGTTCGTTCAGACGCAGCTTTCGCAGCGTTACGCAGCAGTCCAGATGCGACAGATTTGCGTATTTACAAATGTGCCGCTTAAACAGTGGCAAATGTGCGCTGGATACGCCCAGATGCAGTGTAGAGGCCATATCAATGGAGCCCAATGTCATGCTGCGCATGGTGCGTTGTGGCATATCGCGTTTCAGGAAAACAGCCTGACGCACCGCGGAGGCGACCGCAGGTGCTGCGGCAGGGGACGACGACCCTGTGCCCAGTGCACTAACATGACCTGGCAACGGGCTGTTGGTCGTGGATAGGGGTTGTCTAGTGGTTGCTTTTATAATCGTATTGGGCGGAAGGGAACTAATTGCAGCGCCTAACGATTCCTTCTTAATGCTAGCCAGCGGTGAGGACGACGTTTGCCAGGCCAGTGAGGGGGACGATGCACTGGCATAGCTGCTCGACTGCATCACATACTTTGGCGTCTTTACCAAAGGAGCGGCTGTGAAATGTGGACTAGGTGAGCAAAGCTTGCATGCAGCAGTCAAATCCTACTCACCTGGAGATGTTGCGCTGCTGGAGGCGCGTTTCATACTCGGCTTGATAATAGCTCCGGCAGGTATTTTGCCGAGAGCAATAGTAGTGCCTGCTACCTTCTGTAATGCATGATAATACAAATTAAAATAAGATCAAAGAGAAATTCAAGTGTTTTCTAAAACAACCACATGTTCATTGGGTTGCCACATTGCCGCAAAACAGCTGTTTGTGGCAACTCAGCATATGTATGTATATATTTTCAACGCATATGTTTGTATACCTTGACAGTTTGCTGTGGCTGCACTTGCACTTTAGGTCTAAATATCACAGTGGGCGTTATGGGCAGAATGCCGTCAGCTGTTTTTCGATATTTGACTATGGTCAGCGACATTGTGAAGTGCCGAGAACTGCAAACGAGTTTTATTGCACTTTTTGAGAAAAATTATTGCACTTTTTTTTAATCAGAGGACGCCAATCGCAGCGTCTCTCTGCAACCCTGCAACCCACACAATCGATAGATCGATAAGCATCGCACAACAATCGATGAGTGCTGCCAAGCGACATTTTGCGCAAGATTGTCCAACACTTGCGCGACCAGTTGAATCGGCGCGCCTTTTCGTTTTTCATTACATTTTCAACGCTCGCCTACCACGTACGCGACACGAGAAACGATTGAAAGCTGTTGCGCGCTGCGGCTACTTGCATTTAACGAATTTTAACTTCCATTAAGATTTAATCGGTTAGTGGCTTAAGTGTTCAATTTCTATAAATACAACAAGTGTTTTAAATTATTGATTTTATAAGGCATATTAAATCGCTGCCACTAAAGTATCTTATAACAACGATAACAATAAAAACCTTCAGCCAAAAACGGTGACCGTGAATGCTCAAGACCCCAAAAACGCGCAACGCATAGTTAATTAAGCAATTTTCATGCAACACCGCGCGCACTTTACAGGTCTTCGCATACACACATGTATACACCTACATACGTACATGCATATATTTATATACTTCTCTTTCGCGTATCATTTATCACAGGCAAAGCACAAAATCATTATCAGCGCAAATTGCGCATCCGACACTAAAAGATAAACAACGAGAATATGCGCGTATCAATGAAATTGTATGCCGCATGCCGATAAGAAAAACTTGGTGTGGCTCGGCTCGGCTCGACTAGGCCATTTATTTAACCAATTAATGCATTAACGTAAAGTAAATAACGCACTGAGCCCACCAAACCAAAGGCCACTCGCTAAATTATAAAGTTGAACGCACTCTTTTCCCCCAATAGCGCACAAAGAGTCCAACTTTATTTTAATTAAATTATTTCTGTTTTTCTTTTTTTTTTTGCGTGGGGGGTTAAGCTTGTGTGAACTGAGCTGCGTTTCAATACACACACGCGCACACCCACATAACAATTACAATCGGGCAACGTCATTTGGATTACTAAACAACCAGTGTTTATTGACAAAGGCGGCAAATACTTAACAGAAAGAAACTGTTGAAAATATTAATCTACAGTGTGCGAAAACACACGAGAGTCTACATCGAGGTAAACGGCTTCTTCATTATTTGCATTTACATTTCGCTTCTTCTTCTTAACAATCTTTGTGCTAAATAAGTATTATTTTTATTGTCTCTAGTTTTTTTAGCGCAACAATTAAAGTCGAGTAAGTACATTTTTTGATAACCGCCCCTTCTCCCACACATTTGATGGGTTAGGTGGCAGCCCGTTTTAACAAAAAAGAGTTGCCACATAGTTTTTTTTTTAACTAGAACTTTCAAAACGAGCGAAACAATATAATTGTTCTTGGTTATTTTATCTAGCTTTTTTTATTATCGAGTAAATACATAGACTACAAATTTCAATTCTACACAATATTAGATGATTACGTTTCTCTCAGTGTATGCCAAGCACATCCATATGTTTCATCTTTAAACACAACTGTGTATTTGACCGTTGCCACCTACTTAATCCGTCTCAATAGCCATTAATAAACAAACAAAAGAATATTATTCATGTTGTTCACCATGTCAACATGAATTCGATACGTGGCACCAATCCGCCGCACCTCCCGCACCAATCCGCCGCACCTCCCGCACCCCCCGCACCTTCGAAGGTAGCTCAATATTCGCCACATTGCAATTAACAAGACTCATAGCAAATTGTTAGTAACTTTACACGCTCGAATTGAATGACGTAAATCGGCCCGTGGATGGTATAAAATAAAAAGTGCTAAATCAACACCCACCCAACGATACGAGTAGCAGTTATTGATTCCCCGCAAAATATGAACACCTGCAGCTACCTGCATTCGATTCTAACTCACAAATTTTGCAAATTTCTCATAACGTTGTTTTCCTAATGTGCATATACCCTATGCTCATAAAAAATTAAATACGAAAAGGCTTGTTGACAATTTACTTTATATATGCAAAGTATATATATATATATATATATTCCGGATATCGCTTACGTATATATAAGCCCGCAAGCTAGAGACACGAAAATTGGATTGTGGGTTTTCGCTTTCTTTTAAACTTCCAAATCAGATAAAGACTAAAGGGAATGGGTTTGATGCACTGCTTGCTGCGATTACAGGGTATCTTCTAGCCTAGTACTAAGCATGATTTTTCATAGACGTCAGAAGACCGCAAATTTATTTGCGTCTAAATTGCATGTAATCGTGGATTAAATACAAATATTTTGTTTTTAAAGTATTATAGCCGAAGCGTAACCAGATTGGAGGCTTCTGTGGTTTAGGCTATCAAAAATGCAATTAAATGTATTTTGGCATTTTAATGAACTGCGATTTGATAAACCAATCAAAAATCGAAAGTCAAATTGCTCGAATCGTTTGTCATGCGCCAAATCAGAGCCAAATGCAAAAGTCAGCGAGAAAAAGTCGACAAAAATCAAGCAAAAATGCTGCACACAGACACGCACGACTGTTACATACTCTGTTTTAAGCAAAATGTGTGCGCAAGCAACTTTTTGAAAATGAGACAAAAAAGCAAACATACTTTTGTCCCACTCTTAGGGAAGATAAGCAAATATCAAAACTTATTATTTATGAACTCTGAATAGTTCAGGAACACATTAAACAAGCCTAATATACAGAGTTTTACTCCAAAAGCAGCGTATAAATATATAAATATATTGAAATTGATTACGGGGTGCAGAGTGGGAAGGAATTGCCGTCCAATGCGCCTGCGTAACTGTCAACTGTTGTAAAAAATCAATAACACAAATGTTAACATGGCTAAAATGCTAAAATAAAATATAAAAAAAAGGCTCACAAACTCGAATTGAATTGAATCAGACTCGGACGCGATCTGTGACTGCCAACTGAAAATAAAAAGCGAGCTGCCAAGCCAATAAAAAGAAAAAACTAAGTGAGAATGTTGCAGTCGGGTGCAACTGACTGCACAATACACGCTCAGATCATTCCAACCAAGTCAATTGGTAGATATTTCTGGGTAGATCTTTAGAGGTAGATCTTTCTTGAGGGGCAGCGAGCTACAATTGGTCTAATTGGCGTGGCTCAAATAGTGGATCCATGTCTGACAAGGGTCGAAACCAATATAGACATATTCCAATATAAGCTCTTCAGTTGCCGTCTTTAGCACAGACAGATAAACGTTGAGCACAGCCAATATACTCTTTTCGTTTTGCGAGCGTGTATAGGAGCAAAAGAGAAAAACTCGCATTGTATTAGCCAAAATGCTTGACGTTAATTTAAGGCGCTGCAGTGGCCCGATCTAACGTTCGGGCCAATGGCAACTGGCCGCATTTGAAGTATTGAAGTGAGTAAAAATAAAAAATAAATCACGCGACACATTTGGTTAATAAAAGTTGCTAATGAGTGCTTCGAGGCGTTGACTATTCGATGTGATTCGATTTTATTATATTGATTAACCAATGGGAATGCGCTTCAGGCAACAAGGGGAGGCGTGATTGATTGGGATTGTGATTGATTTCCGAAATTATAAACCAATCGTATTGGTTTGAGTATATATTAAATCAGCTAAGCTTTAAAGTTCTAAGCTTGCAGGCAGTATATATGTCTGAATCGGTCGGATCGGATCAGTATATCTGCAATCGGAACTATCGAAATTTAGGTTTTCGTTTGAATATGTTTTTTGTTGAACAAGATATCCTGATCAAACTCGGCATTTATAAGTTCCACATGTAAACAAAGTTATATCAAAATCGAACCAATTTATCATGAAGCTCAGTTTACGACCTTCACTATTCTTACATATCTGCAAAACCGCAGGACAAAAGTACTAAATTTTAAACAGATCGAAGAGAGCTGGAGCAAGATCTGCAGGGACTACTAATTCCAATTAATGCAATTTAATAAGAATTTACTGTGATATAATAAACATTTGAGGAATAGAGTACATATATCATTCATTCGATAAGCAGACAAATTGACAGCATCATACAACCGAATTCCACGGCGAGAACGAACTAATCGATTGACTCATGAACATCATGAAATCATTAAATAACTTAATGAGCATCAAATATCGAGCTTAATGGAATCTTGGGGCCTGAGCCCCATTCAAAGAATCTTGTGGCCTGTAGCTGTTGCTGTTCATTGAAAACTGACTGAAAATTGACTAAACTGAAGTGCATTCATAAATATTTAACAGAAATTGCTAAATTGGGCACTAAAGTAGTCGCTAATTTAAGCAGTACAAGACCGAGAGACACATGAAAATTGTTTTTAGGCCTGGCTGCGATTCGGCTGCGAAATGGAAGAGTGTAAATTGTTGGCTTAGTGGGCAACGAAGTCCGCGTCGAGTGTTGACTACAAAGTTAAGCGCCAGCTGAGGCTTGAACGATGCGGTGCAGGGGAGAGTAGAGACGGGCGGTTGGGACGGGTATCGGACGGCTGAATGTTCGACACTTAATTTATGTGCACTAAGTAAACATTTTGCCTGCCATTTGCGACAAAGACAAAGTAGTTGCAAGCCATGTTGTGGTCGTGCCTGGAACACATGCGATTGTGCCGCAAAACGTGTCGCTTTTATTAATTAGCCCGGAGTCGGCCCAAACTGGCAACCATAAGGTGCATGCCACTTGCCAGTTATGTGTTTAGCAATGTGGCTGCCTCTGTGCCACAGATGTGCATTCGATGGGAATATCATGGGTCAGCATTTACAGACCATATAACAAGCTAACACGCAACCGAAAGACACCTTCCCTGACTCCGCACTCACCTGATAATCGTGCCATTGTCGTGCCGAAGAACCAAATGATTTCATTATGCTCAACTTTGCCGCGGCTTGTTCTAACATTTCGCGCGCCCGATTCAGTTTCATGTTGATGTCAAATCGCGCTAATCTTGCGAAATTTGATTCAGTTTCGAATACCATGTTTGCGGATGTCACAATTAATCGTATAACTGCAAAAAGTTTTGAATGGTGATGGGGCCTACTATGTGGCTTTCGAAGAGTCCACTTTAACCAATAGTGTTGATTAATATCGATATATGTACAATGAAATTATATTCAATTTTTCACTAAATGGGCTTATAGAGCATTCAAATGTATTTATTCAGATTATATCGTTTCGATAATATAGTTTAAAGCCGCGTCATAAACGCTTTAAGTTTGTTTAAGCTGCGTTATTCGAGACTCCAATGTTGTACAGCACTCGATCTCTGCCATGATCTTTTGCGATGTTTTACAGCACTTAAACTCCAGGAGGACAATGACAAGTTTGAGTGTTGCATTATAACAGCATAAAGCTAGCATCAAAACGATCGGCAAATAGCATTTCGTAGTTTTATATTCTTTCACATAGCTAGACAAATTCTGACATTTCGAATGCGGATTAGTATATTCAAAAGCTCCAGTATGAATTCAAAATTTGTTGTTATCTCTGATTTATCTAACAGGGTATTAAATCAATATACTTGATGTGTAAGCTTATAACTAATCGACAAGGGTATTAAGTATATACATTAGATGTGTTATCTAATAGAGAGAGTCAGTGGGTCGCGGACTTGAAAATCGGGCCAGGCAATGGATGTACTAGACGAAGGTACTTAAATTGGGATTGATGAATGTGAACTACAGCTACATATTGTGGTTAACTATACAGTGTGGTTGACTTGGTCACGTAATCGGCTAACACCCAAGCCAATAATTATTATCTATTTGAAGTAGTACGTTGTGTGCCCCCCATGATGTATTAGGCCATCAATCAGCTGCTAATTGGACGCCGTTTCGTACCCCCCTTTGTGATGGCAACTGGTGCGGGCTCCAGTTGCAGCTCGATTGGAGAATTAACATAAGAAATGACTACAAATTGCACCAAATAACAAAGCCAAAAAGCTAAAGCGAGTTCTTTGCGTATTTGGTTTCATTAAATGTGCTCCAAGCGTGAAAACGTGATAGAATTTCAGTTTTCGCATTTGGCCATAAAACGGACAGATCGCAATTTTTGAATTGCGCACAGTTTGGTAATCAGTCGTCGAGCCATGTTTTGAGATTTGTTTGTAGCTTTATTCTCAGGCCCGTCCAATTACATGCGACATGAACATAAATAACATTTTATTAAGTGCTAATTTCTGTTTTAGTAGCTCCAAACAGGCCAAACATTTGCCCGCTGTCGATTTCGCTCGGCAGATAAGTTCAAATTTGTTCGCTTGCCACATGCACATTTCAACCAAGGAGCCGCTCTCGGCTCAGATTGGCGCCACAGATTGTGGCAGCTGAGTTGCTGCTGCAGCTGTCTGTGGTTGGGTGTGGTTAATGGCGCTGCCAGCGAGCATTGGGATGCAGAATGTGAAGGTAGAAATTGGGTGGACGCTTTTTTGGATACGGATCAGAAATGGCCAGGAAAGTGAGCCAAGTGAAAATCATATGCGAGAAAGCCATTAAAGGGTTTGTATATGGAGATCAGGTAGGCAAAGCAGCAAAACCTGATGCTAAAAAACTTCGTAGTATGACAAGATAAAAAGAAAGCTTAAAGTGAAAATATAAAATAGAAATAGATTTAAGAATGAAAGCTAAGATTTTCGAAAGACAATAATAGAGTATGCATTTATTTTTAAAGAGCTAAACACTCTTGAGTAACATATTGTTATTTGATCTTTACTAAGTAGCATCCTGTGTTCAACCAAGGGACTTTATGTTTGGCATTTAAATCTTTAACGGTCGTCCGTCATTTGTACTGCCTGCAACAGTTACAAGGCGATAACCTTAGATGTAGATCTAGAATATATGTACTTTATGGAATTGAAGTTCTTCTTCTGTGCATCTAAGCGTTACACATTTCCTGACAAAATTATAATACCCTCTAAAAGGGTACATAAAAGGATCCAGCAGCTTTATTAAAATGGTTATTTAAACTGTGAACTCATTCAGTAAACCACTTCAAATCCAGAACTTTAATATATAGGTGGAAGGTGACCAGAAGAGCCTTTTTCAATTTATTTAAGGTAATGATAAGTTTTATATGCAACAACACTCAATGTTTTCTTTTAGAGGTAGCAAGATATGCTGTCCCTTTTCCTATCCCTATCTCCGGCCAGCTATTTGCCCAGCTTATAAAGCGCCATTACGGCCACACCCAGCAGCAGGACCACAAAAGCCACGCTGCCAAACAAAGCCAACGACTTGGTGCTTTCAGCCACATTCGCATTGGCCAAATCGCTGACAACTGCTGGCTGCTCCTCCATGAAGCTCATGTGCGGCATAATTACCCTGAAGGTTATGTGAGACAATTCCGAAGCCTCTGTTCCATTGCCATCGGCAACCAGCCGAGTATCCCGTCGTCGTCTCTGTGCCACACCTGGTTGGCAATCCTGAGCCGTTAGTTGGCAATCTTCGCGCTCCAGACAGGCCGTAATGCGCATGGACATGACCAGCACATCGCCGCTGTGCATGCCCGGAAACATGATGGCTCGAAACTGCAGTCGCTGGCCCAACGGCAGCTCAGGGCTGGGCGCATGCGCACAGATGCTCTGCATGGCGGGATTCAGACAGCCGCGTGGGTTGATCAGCTGGGCGCTATTCAAAACCTCGCCAGCTGCTGAGATGCGTTGCAGCTGCACGTCACTTAGCTTGGTGTAGTTCCAGCCTATTAAAGGGAGAAATCAATCTCTATTCACGAGCTTAAACACTATTAAATACTTTTTACAGCACACACATAGACATCACAGCCAGTACAATTAATCTCACAAAAACTTTTCATGTGCTTTGATGTAAATGATACATTCCTTTAGAGCTTTATGTGAGCTCTTATGTGCAATTTATCTCACAGAAAGCTTTCATGTGCTTTGATGTTAAAGTGGTTATCACACGGAAAGCTTTCATATTATATGACATAAATCATGCATGGCTTTCAAGCTTAAAGCAAGCTTACATGTACAATTATTCTAACAGAAAGCTTTTATGAGCGTGGATTAAGTGAGCTTTTTGTGAAAGTTCTAATTATCTCACAGTAAGCTTTAGTGCGTAGAAATGTAGAAATTCTCGAAAGGATTAAGGTGTTAGCCGAATATAAATTTAAACTAAACCATTTTAAACGATAAGGTCAGCGTTATTGTTTTAAGAGCTTTCACTTAGCCTTGCAGTAAGCTGTTATGTGCTTATAACAACTTTTATATAAATACAAATCTTAAAACTTACCATCGCCAGCCAGGACATGTGCGCGCAGCAACAGCTCCTCGCCCAGTTGTACCGCCCCGTTGCTCTCCAGGTGTCGCGTATAGCCATTGGTGCCCCGTCTCAGTAGTTCCACGTGGGTGCGAAAGGCATTCTGATTGCCACCATGGGCATAGCTGCCAACACTGCGCGCCTGTCTGTGCGACGAGAATGGCAAATATTACTCAAATGCTGTGGGCACCACTACACTTCTCGACTTACACATCATTGGCCACGCCCATTTTCAGTGCATGCGTCTTGACCGCCACGCGTTCCTGCGTCTTGCAGTGCAGCGTCAGAATGGAGTCGCCGCCAGTGCGGAGGCCGCGTATGGCCGGAAAACGCAGACGCAGACACAAGTCCTGACCACAAGTGCGCACTCCGCAGCGCTCAAAGTCTGCGCCCGCAATGTCCAAGAGCAGAAAGCTGCGCGATAGCTTCAGCTCGCACTGTTTGTCCTGCACTTCCTCGTTGTCGTTTTCCAGCACTGGCGCGGCACCCAGAAAACTGTCCAGTTTTAACACTGCACGAAAGTAGCCCAACTGCAGGCAGCGCATATCCTTGAGGCGTAGGCGCAGCTGTTGCGGACTGTTCTCCGCTGGCGGCAGGTAGACGGGCGCTGGCGTTGAGGGGCGCTGCGGCGGCGCATTATAATCATAGCCAGGTGAGGACAAAGGCTCATCATCATCTCCGGGCTCCTGCACAATGATGGGGCGTGGCGTTGTTGTTGTTGTCGCGGGAATGCGCGTGGTGCTGCTGGCGCTGGGCTGTGGATAATAGTAGCCCTCGAACTCATGGCTGCGGAACGGAAAGAAGGAGTGTACTGAAAGCTTATCTAAAAGCTTCGGAGCTTTAAGCTGTTTAAATAGTAATTTAAGCTCATAGCTGCGGAACGGAAAGAAAGAATTTACTGAAAGCCTATCTAAAAGCTTCTGCGCTTTAAGCTGTTTAAATAGTAAATTAAGCTGAGTTTTGACCTGTAGCCACAGAACACAATAAGGATAGCTGCCCAGCGGCAGGATAAAAAGCCTAATCAGATGAGCCTTGCTTAAGACCTGTCACTTAAAAATTCTACAAACCTTGGCTTAGGAATTTCATAGCTGGGTCGCTCCTCATTGCCGGGTGGAAGGTAATGTTGGCTCAGGGGAATAAAATTGCCATGTCCCTGACTGGAACCCTTAACGCTGCGGTTCTCAATTATCTCTGGCAGACTAAACTCCGTGGTAGCAGGCGCTACGGGTGCCACAGGTGCTGGAGTCACAGGACTGCCAGCTGGCGGTCCATATAGAGCAGGTGGCGCAAAGGCCAGCTGAAAGGGCGTTTGTCCCTGCTGATAGCTGCCAAATTCAGAGGGTGCCGCAAAGAAGTGAGCCACATCCGCGAAGGCTCGTTCAAGCAGCAGCAAAGTAGAGCTGACAATTAGCAAGTACGTCCAGTTGGGCGACATTCTGTGCAATTACTAACTGATCCAACCATATGTGGGAGAGCTTTTATAAGCTAAAGCCGCATAATCGATAATCGTGATTTCGGCTGACCCAAATGCCCCATGTAGAATTCCATTTTATTTAAAAACTTTACTTTCTATGCGTTCAAGGCACACGATTTTATTGTATTGTGTCGATTGTGACAACTTTCCTTGAACACGAACGATGCGGCGGTGCAGCATTTATTGGGCCAGGTTATGTAAAAACTAATTGCTGTTAGTACTCCCTAGACGATACCACTTCAACACCCGTATCTATGACCATCCTCGGTCAACTTCACTTGTCGCAGCCAGTGCCAAATCCACAAATCATTTGCCATTTGACATGCCGCCGCCGGACAACTAATGACAACACGCATTCACAACATTTTGGCCACATTGCAGACATCCGTTTGCAATGGTCAAAACAAAAAGACACGAGCGCCAATCAAACTTAACGAGCCCGTCGTTAATGTGCCCAAAGATGGTAGCACAAAGTAAAAACTCATCAATAATACTACAATAACAAAACAAAGCTTTAGATGCATACATCTGACCACATATACCTACTGTTATATATATATAGATAAATTTATATAGAGTAATGCCAAAATACTTCAGACTTAATCTCCTCATAAGTCTGCCATTCTTGTGTGGGAAGTGCCGGTAATGAAAGAGTAATGAGAATAATTACACATTAAATTTCAGGCACAGAAAGACGGATGTTGAGCTAAGTAAATTCGGGTCTAAGAGAGTTACAGTTACCTGCCTATGCCATATTTATAAGAGGTTTCGCAACACTGTCAATTAAAATTTAACATGAGGATAAGCATGTGCTTCTTTGGCTAAGGAGCTTTGAATTTTATATTCGAGCAATGATATGGGTTGCTTGATTATTTCAACTCTCTAGTTGTTTTTTTTTTTTTTATTAATCCATGTTCCTCCTTCTTAACATTTTCCAATTATTCGCTAAACGTGGGCTTTTCTGCCTTGCGGCTCAAGTCTCTGTTAATAATGTCATTCATAAATTTAATGCAATTTCAACATGACATTTATGATTTGAGGCAATTATTTTTGATTATAATTGTTTGTCTGTGGGGCTTATACATACTACAAAACTGTTCTTCATGTTGTCATTGTGATTGTTGTTGCTGTTGTTGTTGTTGTTGTTGTAGCAGGTTTTCGCCTTGACGGCCAAACTAAAACCCATTTCCAGCATGCCGTTGCCATCGACTGCCACAGCCACAGATACAGATACAGATACAGATACAGATAAAAGTCTCTCATGGGCACCGGCACCCAAAAGATTGACAACAACGCGCAAAAATTTGCCACATCAGCCAAATCGAATGGCAATTAATTGATTTAACATGAGCAGCGCTCGCCACACACAGTTTACGACATCGAAATAATTAATGAAGCCCAAATAGGCACGAATCGTAGCGTATATCGCATATCGCATATCGTATATCGTGCAATATATCGGCTATCGATTACTGCAATTAGTGTTGCGATCAGTTTAATTTATTCCTTGTCAAATGTTGTTAGCTGTTTTTCAGGATCTCATTCGCGCCAACATGCCAGGCACCTCATTCCCAACGAATAACGACAATTTCAGCAACGGCTTCCCCATGATCAGCACACAGGCGGAACGTCTGCTTCAGGCCCAGAATCGACGCAAATTCAGTTTTCCGGCCACGCTTCACTCAGCGGCGCTGCTCGAGGTGGGTCAGCGGGAAACGACCCGCAGGCGTCTGAGCAATGTCAGCGATGTGGTTACCCGCAAGCTGTCCTATACAATTGGCTGGAAAGCGGCTCAAATACCTGCCCAGGACATAATCACACAGGTAACAATATCTAATAGGTATACGTACATGTATTGATGTTTAGCTTTTTCCTCCAGGGACGCTGCTTGTGTGGACACTATATTAAGCGGCGGCTGCGACGTTCCGGACTCTTTAACAAGAAGCTGGGACTGCAGCGCATTCGCAGCATATTGGGCAACAGCAACACCACCATAGGCATAGTGCGAGATGTGTTTCCAGCGGTGCAGGTGGTGAGTATTTGCATGAGTAGAACTTACTTCTTAAGGCTCTTATGCTAATAAAACCATTTAGGGTATACAAACTATCACATTATAAACTATCATTAAGTCATCTGTATTCCCAGTTAGGTGATGAACTGGAGCGCATGCATCCACGCATCTACAATGGTGTCGCGAGACAGATATGCCGCAATCCTGGCGGCGAGTTTCACACGCCGGATGCTGTAAGTTTGCTGCTGGGCGCGGTGGGTCGTGAACTGTTCCGTGTTGAGATCACGTGGAGCAAGGTGATCTCATTATTTGCTATAGCCGGTGGTCTATCGGTGGATTGTGTGCGCCAGGGTCATCCCGAGTATTTGCCAAAGCTTATGGAGAGCGTCTCCGAAGTAATCGAAGATGAGCTGGTACCTTGGATAAATGAAAATGGTGGATGGGTAAATTCAAATGTGCACATTCTACTAAAATAGTTGTAACTAACCTATTCATTGGCTTTACAGAGTGGCATCAATACGCACGTATTACCCACAACCAACAGTCTAAATCCTTTGGAGTGGACAACGCTGGTCATTGGTGTTGTATTTGGTTTGATTTTACTTTTTATGTTTTTTCGCTTTATTGTCAACACATTGATTCCCAAAATATACCAACGATTTACGAGCTGATTTAAGAACGCAAAAGTGAGAAAGATTTTAACTTACTTCTGATTTTTGATATTTTGAAGTTGTCCGCCGTTGAGCAGTGTGACCTTCATAAATAAAGAAAATGAATACTGCGCGTGGTATTTATTTAGGTTCTATTGCACAGAGTTGTCTAGTAAATATCGATAATTTTGTGAATGCAGCGTTTTCAAATTACTTAGCGAAATTTTATCGACATGTTTGTTTTAAACATTGCTTGCTGTTAATATATTAATAGTATTTTCAATTGCACTGTAACGAGAGCATACGTCGCAATGGCAGTTCCAATATGGCTAAAAAGCCCATTTATTATAAAACTAAGCAAATACACAAACCATATAAAATTGGCGCCATACTTGAGGTATGCAAAGACGACAGACGCATTGGACAGGGCTGTTGTAGCTGTCTCGCTCTGAAGAGCTTTTGGTTGCGTGCTTTTTTGGAGCTCGGCCCCAAAGCGGGCAGCGCAGCCAAACGAGCAGCAGCTGAGTTAACGGCGCACACTCTTACGCGTTAGAACATCGGGGCCGCTAAATTTGTGACCGAGACGGAGCGGCAATACCCCGACGTTTGCACAATATTTTTTTTTTTCGTAGATTTCTCGGTTAAAAGTTCAAAGCAAAGTGAAGCGAAGCGACAATAAAAACACACGCGCCGCAGAAAAAAGGTAAAATAAAGACAACAACAGCAACAACAACAAAAGCGAAAAGAAAGCAGCAGCAGAGGCAGCTTGAAAATCAATCGCCCAGCAGCAACAGCAACAACAACAAGTTTTTAGTTGTTTTCTTTTGTGTGCGCCGTTCGTGTACATATGTTTGCCTGGTCTACGCTTTGCGCGCAACATTTATTCTCGGTTTTGTATTTTGTTTTGCACATTTTATCAAGCCAAACCACCTCCAAAAAAGCGCAAAACTAGCTGTGCTCATTGCAAGGCGACAATCAGCGAAAGCAACTGTAATATTAAAAGCTCGACTTTTACACAACTTGCATGCAGCTGAAGCTTACGAAGGGTAGGCAGTGGAGGCTGCTACAGCGACAACAACAACAGCAGCAACAGCAACCGTAATAAGAAGAACAAGCGCGAGATCTCAACTTGGCCCATTGTCCAGCTGCAGCGAAGCATAGCCTGCGCGACGTCGCCTTCATGACGATGGCCATGGCACCGACCACAGCTGCTTCCGCCACCAGCACCGCCACCCCCAAAAGCCCAACACCCACACCGACCCCCAAGCTGGCCAAGTTCAAATCCTCATCGCTGGACCATGAGATCTACACGGCAAATAGACGCAGCACCATTGCCACCGCGGCCAGCGAGTGGAAAACTTTGCGAGCTCCGCTCAATGGCAGATCCGTGCATATGGGCAGCGGCGGCAGTACCGGAGCGGGGCCAGGGGCCATTGCTGGCCACATGACGCGCGCCGCCTCAACCTCATCGCTGGCGAGCAGCACACGCACCATGACCAACTATCAGGAGTACAAAATGGAAATTATTAATCAGGTAAGTCGCCAGCAAGACGGGCGCGATAAAAAGTGATAGCTAAGAAGACCGCATCATGATATACCCTGTGCAAATGAAGCCACATTTGAGAATATTAAAAATATATATTGTGTAATCTAGGTTGATCAGATAGTTATAAATTTCTATAAACAAAGAGTATAAATCATGATAAAAAAATCAGCTAGTTGTGACAGCTTTTTCACAACATTTAATATTTACAGGGTATATGAAAAGGCTGTGCAAACAAATTACACATTCATATATTTTGGTTAAAATTTAGGCAAATAATGAAACAGTTGGTGGTCTCATTTTTGTTTACCTAGAAAAAAAATTCTATTTGAAAAAATTACCTAAGTTGTGGGCGTGGCTGTGCAGCACATAAGCCCTCCTCGCCGCTGACGTTTAATTGAAAGGGTAAACTCGCAATGCACGTCTGTAAATACGTATATAAATATATAAACATAGATATATATAGTTCTATTTATTTATATTTTTTAGTTTTTTAGCAATTTGTTTATCTCGGCTGATAACAAAATAAAAACTGCATTTTGAGTGGAAAAGTGTTTGCACTTTTTTGTTTGCCATTAAATAATTTAGAAATATTTACTCGACCCGGCGATAGCTGCAATAACTGTTGCATTTGTTGATAAAATGTTGGAGCTCGTAACAGCAGCACTGCGGCCTGCATAACTTGGCTCAGTTAGCTCTGAGATAAAACACAGGCAAACACATAAATAGCAACAAATTATTGCTAATACTTATAAAACTTGCAGCTAGTTAGGAGGTGTCACATAAGCCATATAAAAGTCAATGCTAGAAGCTAAAATTGAGCTGACGAACCAGAGAAAAATACACTAAAAAACCCCCCCTTGCTAATCTAAACAAAATAGTTCGCTTTAAATAAAAAAACGTTAGCCAAACAGCTGCAAACAAAATAAAGAAATTCTAAAAAAAAAATATATATATATATATATATTGCTCGAGAGTTTCGTAACACTCGCAAGTTCAGTTGGGTTGATGGATCGGGCAGGCGCTGGAAATGGAAACATAAAAACATATCTTCAGGCGGTAATAACTATGTCGGCGCTTGGGGAGTGCATGGCATAAACAAATTGAATGGATTTATAGCTAATAGAGTGTTTACAGTAAACACACGCTGGGGTGATTAACCGCTTGTGGAAAGAGTTGGCCAATAGTGAACATTGTCAACATTTCAATAACTGGGTTAACCAAGGTCAAGTCTTTCTCGGCAATGGCATATGTCAAGTTGCCGCCAAAACACAAAGTCTCTTAATTGTTTTCAATAAGTCGGTTGGCATGACAAACGGTAATTGCGCGAAAAAATATAACTACAGACTCTCGATAACAATTGCGAGCGGCATGACATTGTAAATTAAATAGACATCCATCACAGGCACACACACACACACACACATATATATATATGCATATGGATCTGTAGCAGAATACAGGTGTATATCCAATGTGGGGGGTACAATCGCACATAAGCTCTAGACTTTCAGTTTTGTTTAGAATTTTTGAGTAGCTAATGATTAACCCATATCCCCATAAATATGGCCACTTTCTTAGCTTTCTGCACAGCTCGCACTGTTAATAATAAACTCATATTTTATTTTATAATAATGCTAAACACCCTGTAATGTTACTGTGTCGAACTAGGTTATTTAATAGGGTATAATTAGGGTGTCTCAAATGCGTGCAATACGATCTAAACTATTTGGCTTTTGTACACATACGATATTATATATTTATGGGTACTGAGTAACTCTGGAGGGATAAAGATTATCTAGCAAATATCTTAGGATAGTTCAGACTATCATATATTGATGGGTTATGAAACCCTGACCTTGTTAACTTGTCAGCGCGTCGAACCAGCATCTTGCTCAGTGCGTGCATTTTTCTAGTTAACTGTGAACAAACTATTAAACGATATCTCATAGTTGAGCACACTCGATTTTGTGCTGTTTATATTATTTTTGCGAGAGTTGCATTTAATGTGCTACGTCGGCTTTCAATTTAGAACTATATTGAGGTGTGTAAAATGTGTGAATGAAATTTAGCAGGTGTCACTCGTTCGGTGATTGGCAAAAATTTCAGAAGCCCAGACAAGCATAAATTTTTTGTTTTGGCCAAAAGCTAACGCGAATAGCTGAAAACTGCTATAAAAACAATTCCCAATGTCGGTGCCGACAAACCCAAACAAATGGGCAAAGAAATCCAAAAGTATTTCAGAAGTGTTTCCAGAATTCATAAATTATATGATTCCGGATTGGCGGAAATTTTGACTAGCAACTGATGGATACACCTGCAAATCGTGTACTCTTGGCACTGATGGCCCCATATGCCAAAGATCAAAGCTGGCACAGCTATCAGTTGATTTGATTCGATTTGATGTGAATTGAATTGGTTATTAATTGAACTTCGTTATATTTATTTATTTTCCCAGGGCAAGTGTCTGTGTGGGCAGTACATCAGAGCGCGACTGCGACGTGCCGGGGTACTCAATCGGAAGGTGATACAAAGGCTACGCAACATATTGGAGCCATCGTCACATGTGGTCTATGAGGTGTTTCCAGCGCTCAATAGCGTGAGTATCTAAATCGAACTAATGTTAATCCCGTATCTAATTAATAAGACTTTCCATTTTATATAAGATGGGCGAGGAACTGGAACGCATGCATCCGCGCGTCTACACGAACGTCTCTAGGCAGCTGTCACGTGCGCCTTTTGGTGAACTGGAGGACAGCGATATGGCGCCCATGCTTCTCAATCTGGTGGCCAAGGATCTCTTTCGGTCGAGCATCACCTGGGGCAAAATTATCTCGATATTTTCCGTCTGCGGCGGTTTTGCCATTGACTGTGTCCGCCAGGGCCACTATGACTACTTGCAGACCCTGGTTGACGGACTTGCTGAGATTATTGAGGACGATCTGGTCTACTGGCTAATCGACAATGGCGGCTGGCTGGGATTACAGAAGCATATAAGGCCGCATGTCGGTGAATTCACATTTCTGGGCTGGCTGACGCTGTTTGTGACCATTTCGGCTGGCGCCTATGTCGTTTCAAATGTTTGTAAACGTATTGGCTGTCAATTGTATTCATTGTTATTTTAATTTCGGGTCGTTTTTAGTTATAATTGTACCCCGTAGTCAGTGAGATAAACTTGCAATCATTCCTGCTTAAAGTCGTTTAATAGCTTGTAAAGAGATCTGTTTAATGTTTGATATGATATCGATATTGATACTTGTTATATTGTTTTTGTACATATGCCTAACTTAGTGCCAATCACATAGAGCAAATAAATTACATAAAGAAAACTAATTCATCTAATCAGTTTGAATTTAACCGGGTTTTGCAGCTAACAGTCCGTTTCAGTGCACTGCTATGTAAGGTTAACAGCTTTCTGTTAAGCATCTATCGATATATGCCACAGCCAAGTATCGAAAGTAAAATATTTTCGAATATCGTTCTGCTTCTGAATATTAATTCATCGATATTGGGATATAATTTGCGACAGAAATAAAAGTGGGACTATACATATGTAGGTAGCGAGAGTGTAGCATATTTTTGTAGCGTTTAAACTGAAATAATGCCATGTCAGGTGCGTATGAAGCTGGTAAATAGACGCTTGCCCTCGCTCACATTCGTAACTTTCAGGGCACGTTGGAAAAAAACCCGAGACAACAACTCCGCACTTGCACGTGGAGACAGAAAAACAAAGCAATGTTGACCATTTCATAATTGATACGTGTGCGGATGAGCTCTACTACTGTGAAGATTGTGGCAACGACTTTGACAGCATCGAGTCGTATAACCAGGCTCACAGTGGGCCCGACAGCTGTTCAGGCACTGTTGAGGCCAGGTCCAAGGTGACGGTGCATGCCGTAGAGATTAAAGACGAAATACAGTTCGATGACGACACAATAGACATTGATTCCATTGTGGTTGAGGATGATTTGATTGAGGAACTGGACGAGGCAAGCGAGCCCCAGCTCTGGGATGTGCTGGAAGATGACGAACCGTTGCCAGCGACCGAAGCTGAAGTAGACGAAGCCGCAGTCGAGGAAGTGTCGAATAAATCGGAACGCTACTTCTGCTTCGATTGCCATAGCATATTCGAGACACGTCAGAGCGCCGAGGACCACAGCTGTCCACAGGCCGACACCAATGGTGAAGCACGCAGCAAGCACAACACCAAGCTGGCCAAAACGCAAACGCCAATGCGACGCAAAGTCACAGCTGCCACAGCGGGAAGCAGCAATAGCACCAGCACCGTTTGCCACATTTGCCAAACGAAATTCAGTTCTCCCAAATGCCTTAAGTTCCACATGCGCATCCACAACAAACGTGCCTCCAAATCCATTCAGGACGCGCTGCCCGTCGGCGCGCATCAGCAGTACAGCGAACTGGATCAGTTCTATTGCGAAATATGCAACAAGAGGTCGGTACTACGCGTGTCTAGTAATATTGTAAATCATTGAACGACCACACCTTGAATCTATATACCGCTCTCTAGACTTTAAATCCGTGTATTACTTGTCTGGTTGCTTTAATGGAATTGTTAGTTGGCAACAGAGTTTTTTCACGGAAAACCTTTTGTTTTTCATTATTTTTTAACCAAATTCGGCAATTACGAGTAACTATTATATTTCACATTAGCACGCCTGCTAGGATTCATGAATCGTTCGTTTCTGCTAGGTTCCTCGTAGATCTGTTTGTTATACTTTGTGAAGCCCTCGCTTTGCAAATGTTTCTTCCTGGACCCGATTTGGTGACTTCAATCGTGTTAATAATCATTTGTCATTTCATTGCAGCTTCGAGCAGAACCTTTTGACTGTGCACAAGCAGATGCATCAGAGCCAGAAGCAGTTCCTGTGCGGGACATGTAATCGCAAGTTCGATAATGTGACCAACTATGAGATGCATCTGAAAATTCATGAACGCCATGCGCTGAACAACAACAGCAACGCCAATAAAAAGCCCGCCAATCTAAACAAGGATAAACCAGGATTCGCCTGTCAATACTGCGAGCGCGTCTTCTCGCGGCCCTATGAAAAGGTGAAGCACGAGCGCGTACACACTGGCGAGAAGCCCTACAGCTGCGAGGTGTGTGGCAAAACGTTTCGCGTCTCCTACTCGCTGACGCTCCACCTGCGCACACACACAAACATACGGCCGTATGTGTGCACCACCTGCAATAAGCGGTATGTAATGTGCTACTAGAGTCTGTCATATGCTCAAACTCTTTGTATATTTGCGTTGCGCAGCTTCAAGTCGCACCAGGTGTACTCGCATCATTTGCGCATTCACAGCTCGGAGCGTCTGTATGTTTGTGATAGCTGCCCGAAGTCCTTTCGCACCTCCGTACAGCTCTACGCGCATAAGAATACGCACACGAAGCCTTATCAGTGCGCCGTCTGCAATCGTCCCTTTGCCTCGTTGTATGCCGTCAAGGCACACATGTCGACCCACAGAACTGGTGACGCGAAAAGCATCAGCAGTGCGGCCATCAAAAGCCAGCAGATATCCAACAAATATTGGTGCGTTACTTGCGGTGCAGAGTATGCGCGACCCTTTGCACTGCGTCTGCACATGAAGGCAGCCCATGGCCATCCAGACGATGCGGACACACGACTGGCCAGAGTAGCCGCCACGGACGAGGATGAGATTATTGTTCCAGACACCGAAACGGCGGTGCTCATAGCGGCGGCCAAGGCAGATTCAGCCTATCTAAATGCAGCCGCCAATGATGTAGACGTTATGGGTGCGGTGCCCAAATATGAGGAGTGCATTGAAGTATCCACAGATGCGGTAGGTACTTAAATATATTGACCTAAATAACATTGAAGAACATGGCATAGGCCAAAGCGCCATAGCTCGGCATAGGTGTAGGCACATTTTTAAAACTATGAATACTTGGACAAGGTTTTAAGGAATCCCACTTTAACCCCAGGTAACTTGATCTATAGCTATAGAAGCCTCTCTGAGTAGAAGGGATAATAGGATATTTACACTTACAACTGAGCTAAAAATCTTCAATTTGCACAGACCTTTAACTCTCTCTTCTTTTGCAGTTCGATGTGGAGACCTTTCACAACGAGGAGATCATCACCGACTGGCTAAAGTAAAATTCCATTTGGACAACACGCAAATTAGGAAACAAACTTTTATTGGAACATAACTGTCACATTAACTAGTAAATATTTATTGCTGGCGTACATTGTGACCAGTCCATTGGGTTGGATGTTGCATAGAGTGTAATGTATAAGTTAAGAGAATTGAAATCATTTAACTACTTGCAAAATATAATCTAAATAATGACTTAAAAACATACAAAATGTGTTTATTGGTTATTAGCATTTGTAACTATTCGGGCTGAGCCTCCTGCTCGTCGCTGTCATCCTCGTCGCATATTTCTTTGAGCACTTCAACCAGATTCTTAGCTTCGTCGAGTTCTTTGCGCATTGTGTCCATTTCCTCCTCCAGACCTTCGATGCGCTCATGCAAATGCCGATTCTCGTTGAGCGTCTCCTCTAGCGCAACGCGTCGCTGCTCCGAGAGCAGTTTGTAGTAGTTTTCGCCGGGCTCGCACTCACTGGTCAGATCATCGGCTGTGATGGGCTTGTCGGCATCGTTGGCGGCAACAATAGCTTCCGTTTGTGTATCGGCGTCCTGTGTTGTTATTTGTGTTGTTGTGGCGGCTGCATCGACGCATTTGCGTTTGCCATATTTGGGCGTTATATTGACGCCAGCCTTTAAGCGACTAAGCTGATCCACGATGGAGACGCGTCCGAGTCCCGTAAGATTCTCCTTGTCGTTGGCGTTCGTGTTCGCCTGCAGTGGCTTTAGTGTTTTGCGTTGTTGCTTCAGATGCTCCTGTTGCTCGGCCTCGCTCTCGACTTGAATGTAAACTCGTGCAGCGCCCGTGGACATTTTCAAGTCGTTTCGTTGTTCGTTTATTTCGCTAAATGCGCTATATTTATTAACACATCAATTTATGCGTTTTGGCTTGTGATTTTCGGTTCTCAGTTGTGATGGCCGCCAAAAAGATGCCGCGTGCAGATGCTCAACACTGTTTGGCATGCATTTTACAGCACTGTTAGGGCTGTCGCATTTGCTGCCTATTAGAAGTATTTAAATGCCAATAATGCTAGCTGGTTACACTGTTGGTTATTTTCACAAGGGTGGCAACGCCGCGCGTAGACAGCTGATAGCGGACGCGCATGCAAACGTTTTGCGGCTTTTGTTGCATTTTTTTATTGCAAATAAATGCAAAATGGCTGAAAAAACAACACAAGCACTGCAAATCGAGCTGAATTTTGTAAGTATATAGTGTCTGTTGTTTACTACAGTTTTTCGCTAACCGCACATCTTTAGGATGAAGAGGATGTGCCGTATGAGGAGGAGATTCTACGCAATGCCTATTCCGTCAAGCACTGGCTGCGCTACATCGATCACAAGGCCAAGGCGCCCAATAATGGCGTTAATTTGGTATACGAGCGCGCATTAAAGGAGCTGCCCGGCAGCTACAAGATCTGGTACAACTATTTGCGTACGCGCAGGAAGCAGGTGCGGGGCAAAATACCCACAGATCCCATGTACGAGCAAGTGAACAACACATTCGAACGGGCGCTCGTCTTCATGCACAAGATGCCACGCATCTGGATGGACTATGGGGTGTTCATGAGCTCACAGTGCCGCATAACGCGTACGCGTCACGTTTTTGATCGTGCTCTGCGCGCGTTGCCCATAACGCAGCACGGACGCATCTGGCCACTGTATCTGAAGTTTGTGCAGCGCTACGAGATGCCCGAAACGGCGCTGCGTGTTTACAGGCGCTATCTGAAGCTGTTTCCCGAGGATGCCGAGGAGTATGTGGCCTACTTGCAGGTAAGACTGTTCTATTTAGAAAAATAATGCTTTCTGTAACATGGACTTATCGCCGTAGGAGGCAGAGCGTCTGGATGAGGCTGCACAGCAACTGGCGCACATTGTTGACAATGAGCACTTTGTCTCAAAGCACGGCAAGTCGAATCATCAGCTGTGGAACGAGCTCTGCGATATGATATCAAAGCATCCGCACAAGGTGCATTCACTGAATGTGGATGCGATCATTCGTGGTGGCCTGCGTCGTTACACGGATCAGTTGGGCCACCTTTGGAACTCCCTGGCCGATTACTATGTCCGCTCCGGTTTGTTTGATCGTGCCCGTGACATCTATGAGGAGGCCATACAAACGGTGACCACGGTGCGAGACTTCACCCAAGTCTTTGATGAGTATGCGCAGTTTGAGGAGTTGTCATTGAACAAGCGCATGGAGC